CTTCCAAGCTGTCCGCTGTTCTCTGACCTCCTCATAAGTGCAATGCCACAGGGACACGTAAGTGTGCATGCATACACATACTGGCATGATTTAAAAAATGCAAAAAACAAAAAAAAAAAAAACCCAAACAAACACTAAGAGTTATTTGTGACACAATGTCCCCTTTTTCCTGAGCATAACCTGACCGTGACAATGTAGTTAAGAATTTTCCACAGAGAGATTGTTCTAAATCATCATTTACACACATATTCCATTCACTATATCTAGACACCGTCACAAGTTTTTATAGTTTAGAGGCACTCAATCAATACTTATATACCTATCAATGTTTCCTCTGAAATTTACAAAGCGCAAAACTGTGAAAATATTTTAGGTTAAACAATTTGGAAGTCAGAGAAATGGTTCAGTGGTTAAGAGCACTGGCTGCTCCCACAAGGCTGGCTGCTCATAACTGTCTGTGAGTCCAGTTCCACTCCAGAGAACGCCCTCTTCTGCCATTCTCAGATATTGCATGCATTGGTGCACATGCATGAAGGCAAAATGGTCACACACATAAAACAAAACATGACAATCTGAATACACTAACTGAAATCAATCTAACTATTGCTTTACTAAACAAAAAAAAGAACAAAATAGACACAGATCATTACTAATGGCTCTTCTACAATCTTTTTCAACAAATCTTAACTCCTTGCTACCTTGAGGACAGTTTAAAGAAAAAAATCTGGCTCATATATAAAGAAGCAATTATTTTTTGTTTTGTTTTTGTTGGTTTTTTTTTTTTTTTTTTTTTTTTTTGGTTTTTCAAGACAGGGTTTCTCTGTGTAGCTTTGAAACCTGTCCTGGAACTTGCTCTGTAGACCAGGCTGGCTTCGAACTCACAGAGATCCACCTGCCTCGGCCTCTCGAGTGCTGGGATTAAAGGCAGCTAGAAGGCATTGTTTTAATGGTACCTTATTTTAAACACAAAATAAAAATTGTTATTTGTTTTTTGAGACATAGTCTCACTGGAACTTGCTATGTAGACCAGTCTAGCCTTGAACTCAAAGCTATCTGCTGGCCTCTCTCTGTTGGTGCTGGGATTAAAGGCATGCCTAGCATGTCAATATTATTCTGTAAAGCCATCTCCAGCAGAATATTTGTCAATCACCTAATTTAGTTTCTCTTTCACAGTAAACTTACAAAAATATAGCTAATAATTTTAGTAGAAAAAATATTCAAGGTTGGGGATTTAGCTCAGTGCCTAGCAAGTGCAAGGTCCTGGGTTTGGTCCTCAGCTCTGAAAAAAGGGAGAAAAAAAATAAAATAAAACAAGAAAAAATGTTCATAAATTATGCAACCCATAAAACTTAACTCTAAAATTACTAGCAATCTACCCTTTATACAATCACTGAATTATCTCTTCTGAATGATCATAGTACCAAAATGAAACTAATTCTTTTCCACAGCTCTAGTGTAATGTATGACTGCATGTGGAGTGTAGATTAACATGTTATAGTTTTAGCCCTTCTCAGTTAGAGGATTCATGTCAGCACACACTTACACACCAATGGACTCAGAGGTAAACACACAGTTCTAAGGCACTACTAATGACAGCAACAACAACTACTGGTACATCTCCAACATTTCAATGGTAACAACACACTGTTCATGTCATTTACCTTTACTTAGAAAATTAGTTTCTGACAAGTTTGTAATAAAAAATTTGAATAAAATATGAACACTTCAAAAAAATTTAGACACTATTAAATTTCATTTGAAATTATGAATCCATATGTAAATCTAGAAAGTTCAATAATCTACATTAGAGATAAGCAAACTTCAAGTACCTGAATCAATTGTCACTTCAACAACAAACCCAATGACTTTATTTTATAATTTTACTTTTAAACATAAATATATGAAACAATGTTTTCTTTAAAGGGGAGAATAATGGAAATAAAATGTCCCACCTGAAAAGCAGCGCCCAAGTTCAACTTGAGAGCTTTACTAACAGGTTATAACAAAGATAATCATAAATGTGCTTATCAGTTAGGTAGTCAGTTTTACTCAAAGGCTAAAAACAAAACAAAACCCAAAATAACTCTAATTTGTTCTTACAGAATTAGAACACAAGCTGTGACACATCTTAAATACAGCAGCAAACGGCTACTCAGTTCTTTCCAACGGAAACCACACTACAGTGAGGTGTGGCATTAGGGGCATTAAAACTACATCCAAATAAATGGAAAAAAGGCTAAAACAACTAACAGGTAAATTTTACATTTTTATTAGCTTTTAGCATCCAATAATTATTTGATATTAGTATCTTTCATGTCATAGTCACTCATTATTGTTATTCTTCTTTAAAAAATGAGGCACAATGCTTTGAAGAATTCAGTAATTTTCTACCTTTAAAAAGTCTTTGAGAGGCCAGGCGCTGGTGGCGCACGCCTTTAATCCCAGCAGCCGGGAGGCAGAGGCAGGAGATCTCTGAGTTCGAGGCCAGCCTGGTCTAGAAAGTGAGATCCAGGACAGCTAGGGCTACAAAGAGGAACCCTGTCTCAAAAAACAAAACAAAACAAAACAAAAGTCTTTGAGAATGTAGATTTCCCTTCCTCCAAGAGAGTTTATAATTTTAAAAATTACACAGCAATGATTAATGATCTCTGAATGATTGTTATTATTCAGAAATACAAGAAGATAAAGTTGAGTCTGTAAAAGAAACCTAGAAATGTACTTATTCATAGTCTATACCTCCGAAAGGCAATCCTCTATTCTGTCAAAAAACACAGTTGGATAACTAAGAGCTTATTATCCATGAGCAGAGACTCATGGCACTGTGACTCCAAATGAAGCCTCTCCTTTTTTATTTTTATTTTTTTGGTTTTTCAAGACAGGGTTTCTCTGTGTAGCTTGGGCTGTCCTGGAACTCACTCTGTAGGCCAGCCAGGCTGGCCTCAAACTCACAGAGATCCGCCTGCATTGCAGCTTAAATGAAGCTCCTTAGATCACGTGTGCACGTGGAGTCTATGTGCGTGCGTGAGGATAGGTGCAAGCAAAGGCTAGTGGTGTTGGTGTCCCTGGAACTGGAGTGACAGGTGGTCAAGAGCCACCTTTTATGGGTGCTGGGAATCAAATGGGGTCCTCTGGAAGAGCCCTTGCTCTTAACCGCTGAGTCACCTCTCCAGTCGTAAATAATATCTTCCTTTTTTTTTTTCCTTCTTCCACTTTTTGGTTTTTCGAGACAGGGTTTCTTTACACTAAGTAAAGTTTCTTAAGGACACAGCATATCTAAAAGTTACTTCACCTATCCCTAAGTTTAACTTTTTAGTATGGTTTCCAAACTGTGTTCATTTAAATAATATACTGGAAAACACAAATCCAAATTAAAAAGCAATCTTATGTTAAAAAGATATGTATAATGTCTGTATACATATATAGATACACCTACACACAGAACATGTGTTAGCATATTCCTACTACATGTTTAGTTAGCATGAACAAATACATACAAACACACATGTGTTAAACAAAGTAAGAAGATAGAAGTCAGGATCTACTCAAATATTAACAGCACGAAAGAAAAGTGCAAGCCAACAACAGCAGCAGTCACAATCTTAGCAACGGCGACGTGACTAAACTAAAAGACCTGGCTGACAATCCTTTATCTAGTTTTCAGTCTCACAACTTGAAGGTTTTAAAATAACACACCAAGATTACATGATTTAAAATGGGCTATTTAGTAAAAAAATTAAGGGTCATGACATATTAACATGCAAAGCATACACAGGATCGTGATAAATTAATTTTTTGAAATTACATTTTAACTAGCTGCAATTTTTCTTAGAAAAATAAACCAGAGAGTAAAGAAACACTTTCTATACAACACTGGAAACTAGGTAGGTATTCTAGTAAGAAGTGGTGGAGTTACTTGTACTGCTCAATAGGAACAGACTAGGAAAAGCAGTGTTTGACGATGGAAATGAATTACAAGACTCTGAAATGAAGTAATACATCTAAGTTTTAAAAATCCAAGAAAAGAATATAATCTAATAGAGGAAGCTACTCAGTGAAACACGGCTCCACGGTAAGAATTAGAACCAAGAGAAATAAAACTGCACAAGACAAATGTTCTTTACCAATGCTAAGCAATTCTCCAAAGTATTTTTATATCAGAATTATATTGCATCAAATTTAACAGCAGCAAAAAAGCTGAACCATTATCAGAACTGTCTGACAGGCTTTTTAAACTCTATGACTTGCTTTGCCTCTAGCCTTCCTAGAACTCCAAGTAGGAAGGAGTAGGGAGATGGCCTAAGACGGATATCTCCTTTGATTATGTGAGCCTAGAAAGCAGAGAGCTTCCCACCTTTGTCCCCCAGAAAGGAAGGGATCTGAATGTAAATATATGACCCACAAGATGATTAATACACCTACTGACTAACATTTGCTGGGAAATTCTGTTTGAACTAAGTGAGATGCTAATTATGGCTTAGCGCTAATTTTGTCACACTTATGAATTTGCTGAAACATAATTCACTAGCATGCCAAATTAAAGGAACCAACTATAAAGTATTGTATAAAAAGCTGGTGTTTCTGTATATTTAGGGTAATAAAGGGAAAACGTTGATTTTTATGAAAATTTAAAGTATGAACTATTAAAAAAGCAGTTCAACAGTATTTAAAATAGATTAGTTTAAAATTGAATTTTAGAAAAAAATCCTAGTTCCCTTTTCATTCTACTATTCATAATAACCAAAAGCATTATCACAAAAGATTATAAAAACATTTAAAATACAATTTTATGCGACTTTTATTTGTACTTTCGGATCTAAACAACTGTAGGGAACGCCCTTGTGGGGCAGCACAAAGTGGTTTTCTTTTTATTTGAAGCTATTCAAATTCAAGACAGGCTCACTACTTTGCTCTAAAGTACTCAGCACTGTCAGCTAACCCAGTCAACTTAAGAGCTATCTGTGATAGCAGCTTGACTGTGTGAGTCTACAGGGCCTCCCCACCTCGGCTCCCCCGGGAGAGGGAGGGGTCTTTGTATGCTTTTCTGTGGTGGTTCCACTGAATTCATCACAATAGAGATGGACATTTGAAATTCATAACGATCCAACATCTGAGCAATCTTCTTCCGAGACACACCATGTTTATTCCTCCTACCAAAAAAAGAAAAGGATTTTACATCTTTTCTTTCTTTCTTTTTTTTTTTTTTAGAAAGCATAAGTTTAGAGATTCAGTTATTTTACAGTAACAGTATAAGGTCTAAATGGTATTTCACCAACATGAGAAGACACACTGTTCATTCTTCAAGAAAACTGATACTTGCTATTTTCAGAGGACACAGTTAAGTAATTACAGCTTCTTACAGAGAATGGCTCATTGAAAACATTAGGTATACAGCAAAACAGAAGTTGTTTCCTTAAAGAGAAAGAACATGAAGTTGGAGAGTGGAATCTGGGAGGAATTGAGGGACAGAAAAGAATATGATCAAAATATATCACATGAAATTTCTTTAAACATTTTAAAAGGGAAATTTTTTTAATTAATACAAAGAAATGAATGGATTTCCCAGGACTTACCAAAAATGAAAATTATTTATCAGTTACTTTATGACACTTCCTCTTGTATTTATTATTATTGGTTTTTTGAGACAGGGTCTATTTATTATTATTGGGTTTTTTGAGACAGGATCTCTCTGGCTGCCCTGGAATTCACTCTGCAGACCAGGCTGGCATTGAGAATTCACAGAGTTCTGCCTGTCTCTGTCTCCCAAGTGCAGGGATTAAAGGCGTGCACCACCATGCCCAGTTTTTCCTATTGCATTTTAAAATTTCATATTACCAGTACCTTATTATTAGAAATACAATAGGTTGTTAATTGAAAAATTAGATATAAAGAATATATAATACATGACTTTATTTATAATGCATATGTAAGTTGAAAAAAAGGCAACATTAAGCCATGATATTAAGACAAGAAAACTACATAGCAAAGTTTCCAAAAAACATAGACAGTAAGAGACTATCAGGTCCAACAACAACAACAACAAAAACAACAGCAAAAACTGAACTGTGACGAGCAGCTGAGGGACAGCTAAGTACGTGTGCCATGCAAAGTCCTTGTTCAGATTTAGTCTCCCTAGTGATGGGATTACAGGCATGTGCCACCAAGCCTCACTCTTCCTGTAATTTTCTTTATGTGAGTTTTGGACAAGAAAAGTGATTTAAAAACAGTTCTTGACACTCAGGCCTTTGGACAGTTTATTTACTCTCAGAGTTTCCTACAATATGACTCTGACTCTGTGAGACTCCAAGACAACACACAGGAACAGGCTTTACATTCGTAGTATTGTTCTTGCTTTACTAACTCATTTTTCCTAGAAATAAGCCATACAGACACATCTATTTTTCTAATCTGATGTTTTACACTCATGGTTTAAGAACAACAACAATAGAGACGGAAGAAAAAAATAAAACAGATCCAAGGTTAAAAATTGGTAAGAAGTCGGTAGTGGCGCACACCTTTAATCCCAGCACTCAAGAGGCAGAGTCAGGCGGATCTCTGTGAGTTCGAGGCCAGCCTGGTCTACAGAGTGAGTTCCCAGGACAGGCACTAAAGCTACAGAGAAACCCTGTCTCGAAAAACCAAAAAAAAAAAAAAAAAAAAAAGGGTAACAAATGGGCTAGGGGAATTTACCAGTGTTAGCCCACTAGTGTGGCATGCTTGAAACCCTGGGGTCAATCCCCAGCACAAAAAAATAAAACTTAAAAAAGTCAGTAAAATATGACCAAACCCAAAAGATGCCAAAATCAGTGATTTGATTCTACCCAATTCTTCCAAAATTCAAATTATGCTACATATCAGTTAAAATACAGTGGGCTGTTAACTTATATTAAGAAATTATTTTCTTGGCCATGCTGGTGTACATCTTTAATCCCAGCACTTTGGAGGCAGAAGTAGGTGGATCACTGTGTGTTTGAGGCCAGCCTGGTCTACACAGTGAGTTCTAAGACAGCCAGAGCTACATAGTGAGAACAGAACAAAGCAAGCAAACAAACAAACAAAAAAACCAAATTATTAAGTCACAACAGTATCTCAAACATAAATGAAGCCATAAGTATAGGACAGTTTAATCACTCAGACATTTATATGCCACCATTCAACTATCTTTACTTTTAAATTTCCACTCTTCCACCTTGAGTGTAACATACCCAGTTTGGTAGCAAACAACGCCAGTCAGATACTATTATCAGGGGATAGCACACAAATCACATAGAGAGTAGTCAAAGGAATGAAAGTTGGGGAAACAAATGATTTGGGCCCCATACACAGAATAATAGCCTGAAGGCGGGGATATGGCTAACGGCAGAATAATGTGTTTACTGTGTGCATATTAGGGCTCCTTCAACAGTACCAGAAAATAAACACTAACAGTTGGAAGCAGAAAGGGGCAAACTTTGATGCAAGATAAAAGGGGAGGTGATATTTATATAATTCTATGAACATACTAAAAAATACTTAATTGTCGGGGTTGGGGATTTAGCTCAGTAGTAGAGCGCTTGCCTAGCAAGCACAAGGCCCTGGGTTTGGCCCTCAGCTCTGGAAAAAAAAAAACAAAACTGAATTGTCTATTTGAAATGGGTCAACTGTAAGCTAGGTGAATTATACCTCAATAAAACTGTTACTAAAAGGGAGTGAATCCAAACAGGGAAAGTCTATTTGAAATGGGTCAACTGTAAGCTATACGAATTATACTTCAATAAAATTGTTACTAAAAGGGAGTGAATCCAAACAGGGAAAGTAAGGAGGGACCAGACAAGCAGGGACGTGACGAGCAGGACACTGGCAAACACAAACGAGGAGCCAGGCTCCCAGTCCTGATCCAGTCTCTCACAAGACTCTCAGTCTGAAATCTAGAAAGCTCTCAAGAGTACTTGCCTAGTGTATATGAAACTCTGGACTTATTTTCCCAATGTGAGTAAAACAAAAACAAACAACAAACGAAAAAAAAAACCCAAACAAAGCCAAACCTCCAAACAACCCAGAACAACCCCACAAACCCTTAGTCTTCCTGGGCAGGAAACGACCCATTCACAGAACTAGAGCACGCAGCAGACTCTTTCTTCTTTAAAATGACTGGTTGTAATTTGCAGGAGAAATGTTAAGATGTCTGAAATGACATATTGCCCAGACTCCGATGGGATAATAAAACAAGCTAAATGCATGTTACCACCCTAGAAAAAGTGAAAAAAGAATTCCCAAATCCTGGATCCCAAGACTCTTGGGACAGAATTATGGGAAGAGGGAAAAGTCAGAGCAAGGTGAAAACACCAGGTACAAAGCTGATGACGGGACCTACAACAGGGACAGAGATGGTGGAGGGGAGGGAGACGCTCTAATGCACACTACCAGTCAATAAACTTAACAAAAGAATTCACATTAAGACAAAGCACCAAGCACGTTTAGTAAAAGATAGTTAATACAATTTTGACAAGGCAAAGCTCTTCAAAAACTTGTTCCTCTTAAAAAAAAATAGTCCCTGCTCCCAACAAAGACGTCAATCAAAGCCAGAAAGAAACCAAACACACAAAGACAAATCAAAGAAACAAGACAAGGATTCAATAAAAAAGAGGCTCTTACTTTTCTAATTCTTCAGGATCAAACTTCCACCAAGTTTCCGGTTCATGAAACTCTACTCTGTATCCTTTTCCTATGGCCTACACAGGGGAGGGAGAAGACAAATCCAGAGAACATGCTTAAGGAGAAGGCATACAGACAGGTGTTTCATCTGACAACAGGAAGGCCGCTCAACCAAGAAAAATGCTTCTTGGCAAAATGTGGCTTAGGAAAATGTTAAGACTATATAACTGGATGAATTCCAATTATTATCTTCAAGTCCAGGAGTAACTAAGAAGGGCACATTCAACCATCATAAACACCATTCCCAATTTTTAAGCTAAAAAAACCCCCAACAAAACTATTTAGAAAACAAGGGAAAATATCTTAATAATAAAGACAAATAGACCAAAATTTCAGAATATGAAAATCTGTTAAGAATAAAAAGACAAGCCAGGCGGCAGTAGCGCATGCCTTTAATCCTAGCACTTGGGAGGCAGAGCCAGGTGGATCTCTGTGAGTTCAAGGCCAGCCTGGTCTACAGAGCAAGATCCAGGACAGGCACCAAAACTACACAGAGAAACCCTGCTGAAAAACTAAAAAAAGAAAAAAGAAAAAAAAATTAAAAAAAAAATAAATAAAAAATAAAAAGACAAAAACTTGCACGTCAATTACTTACCATTTCCACATATGGTTTCATTTCCCAGGCTTGTGTATTAGTGTTGTCTATTATAACTGGAGATCTCCCCTGATCAATAGCTTGTTTTGCTGAAATAAAAACATATAAGTAAAATTTAAATATTTGATATTAAGAAATACAATACATCTTTGCATTTAAAATGAAAACTGTAGTAGCTCTTCAGTAAGTGCCATGAAATAGATAAAATACAAGATATGTTCTGAACTGGATGCTGGTTTTAACAAAACAAACAAACCAACCCCAACAAACTACAAAAACACATCTTGGAGTATTTTGTCCACTTACAACTAATGAAGTTTTCAGTCTAGACCCAAATTTCATTAACAGGAAATAAAGGTGATAAAGAGCAAAGTACAAGAAGCAGAGATTTACTTACACAGAAGGAAATTTTTACATGAAAAGTGTAACACAACACTGAGGCAATAAGTAAGATCTTTTATAGGTCAAAACAGTTTTTCTGTAATATAAATATGATGTGAGAGATGGCTCAGACAGATAAGCGCTTGCCATGCAAGCCTGAAACCTGAGCCCATTCCCTGGAAGCTATGTTAAAAAGCAGGGGCAATGGTACACATCTACAATTCCACAACTCTTACAGCAAGATGGAGGCGGAAACAGGAAAACGCGTCTAAACCTTCCAGTCCAGCTAGCCTGGAGTAGAGTGCAGCAACAGATACAAGAGAGATCCTGCCTCAAAACAAGATGGAAGGAGAGATCACTCTTGAAAAAAAGTTGTTCTTTGCTCTCCACACACACCGAGCACATGTTCACCTGCTCTCGTTCTCGCTCTCTCGCTCTCTCTCTCTCTCTCTCTCTCTCTCTTTCTCTCTCTCTCTCACACACACACACACACACACACACACACACACACACACACACACACACTAAATAAAAATGGAAAAGAAAGTTGGGCATGGTGGTGCATGACTTTAATCCCAGCACTTGGGAGGGAGCAGCAGGTGGATCTCAATGAGTTCAAGGTCAGCCTGGTCTACAGAGAGAGTTCCAGGACAGCCAGGGCTACAGAGAGAGTGGTACGGTAAATATACTTAGAATTACTAATGGGGAAATAGCAAGGTTGTTTTTTAGATTTGTTTGGTGGATAAATATTTTCGAGTGATTATTGGTTGGAAAGGTGGTTAGTGAGGTGGAGAAAATTAGGCGTGTATAGAAGGTAAGTTGATTAGGGCTGTAACTGCTATTAGTGTGACTAAGGGAAGTTGTTATTTTTCAGTAGTTCAGTGATAATAATTCACTGGGTGGAAACCCTGTTAGTGGAAGGCGGCTTCCCCCAGAAAGGAGAGTTAGGGAGATGACAGGTAGTATGATTGACAGGTAGTATGACTGGTGTTTTGTTTCCTGTAAGTGACATGGAGTTGACTGACATAAATGAACAGGTGTGGAGCATAATGAAGAATGAAACTGTGAGGAGGATACACATACACAACTTTAGAAGTGTGAGGGAGAGGGTGTAGGGGAGAGCAGAAAGTACTTATCCCATATGGGTAATAGATGAATATGCTGTAATTCTTTTGTGTTTGTGTCTAGCTGAGTTCATTTCATGCTCCAGTAAGGACCGAAAGGGTTGCTGATGTGATGAGGATATTTGGGTCTATGAGTTCATTAATTTGGAAAAGAACTGAAAGGGGGGACAATTTTTTTGTCATGTAAGGAGAATTAGGCCTATGTGGAGTGGGATTCCTTGGGTAATTTCTGGTAGTCATGAGTGGAATGGTGATAATCTCAAAGAAAAAAAAAAGGAAAGAAAAAACTTTTTAAGTGATGCTTTTGAAAAAGAAAGAAAGAAAGGCACTACCCACAAGTAAAATTTCCTTTGTCAAGTAGCTCAATACCACAGTTCAGCTGATTTTTGTGGATTTCTTAGAATCATGATTCTCAAATGTGTGACTGAAGGGAATGCAACTGTAATTCTAAACTCTCTTTATTGCAATGTCATTCCTTGACCCCGAGGGAAGAGTCACTGTCACAGAGAGCCATTTGTTAATGACAGCAGTGTATGTATACCTCAGGGATAGCAGACAAGAAAATTAACTTCTGAAAAATGATCAGTTGAATGCAAAGATGGAAATTTTCTCGATATACAGGATTCAAACTACTAAATTCAATATAATGTAATGAGGCATGTCCAACCTGCATTTCATAGGCCACGTGTGGCAGAGAATTGTCATGATTTGTGGCCCACCACAAAATTGTAAACTCACTTAAAACATCATGAGATTTACTTTCCGCAACTTTTTTTTTTGTAACCAGGCTCAACAGTTCTCAAGAGTGAACTTTGCAGAGCACAGGGTTGGGTTGCAATGTCAAAGGACTGGACGCACCTGTTTATGGTATGAAAGGGGAATGCCCCCCATGGACTCACATGTTCAAACAATCAATCCCCTAATGACTGTAACACTGTTTTGGAAGGTTGAGGTACCTGTGAGAGGTGGGGGCATGGCTGGAGGAAAGGGGTCCTCTACTTCCTGACAGCAGATACGATGATGATGATGATGATAATGATATGACCAGCTGCATCACTCACGTTCCTGTCATGCCTTCCCTGCCAGGTATCCCTTCTTAAACTGTGAGCCCAAACAAGCCCTTCTTCTTTTTTGGGGGGCGTTGAGACAGGGTTTCTTTGTGTAGCTTTGTGCCTTTCCTGGATCTCGTTCTGTAGTCCAGGCTGGCCTCAAACTCACAAAGATCCGCCTGACTCTGCCTCCCGAGTGCTGGGATTAAAGGCATGCACCATCACCGCCCAGCTAACAAGCCCTTCTTTAAGTTGCTTCTTGCTGGGTATTGGGTCTCAGCAACAAGGAAGTACCAAATACAGATATGTTTAGGGCAGGCAGATCCTAGAACCTAGTTAATGCCTTACTCACTGAGCCATCTTGTCAGGCCAAAAGTAGGTTTTTAAAAGTAACTTATAGCACATGTATTTTTTAGATAGTTCTAGATCTATCCCAAATTATAATCATTTAGAGGATTAAAAACAAAAACAAACACAAAAAAACCTGGGGCTAGAGAGATAGCTCAGCTGTTAGGAGCACTGATTGTTCTTCAGGGATGCAGGTTCAATTCCCTGCACCCATGTGGTGGCTCAGAACTGTCTGCAATTCCAGTTCCAGGGATCTACATCCAAGTAAATCATAAAAATTTTTAATGAAAATATTTATTTTAGGGGCTGGAGAGATGGCTCAGAGGTTAAGAGCACTAGCTGTTCTTCCAGAGGACCTGAGTTCAATTTCCAGCAACCACATGGTGGCTCACAACCATTCATAATGAGATCTGGTGCCCTCTTCTGGCATGCAGGAAGAACACTGAATACACAATAAATAAATAAATCTTAAAAAAAATTTTTTTTTAAAGGTCCAGTTTTTAGGCCTCATTCTAAACCAAACTGAAGCAGAATCTCTTTTTTAAAGGTGAGGGCATCCCTATATGATTCAAATGGATTATCAGGATTGAGACCACTATTTACAATGGAAAGAAACTGACCCATGTCTTCTAAAATTGAAGTATTTGACAGGGTTCTCATAATATCAATGAGGAAAACTAACACAGGCATTGTTTAAGATTTAAGGACATCAGCATTATACAAGGTGGAAACAGCTTTCAGGTATAATAGTTCTATGAATTAGTTATAAGGTGCAAAACCAGGAAGCATATTGAAATGTCCCCCACCTGTATTTTATCAGCTTACATTTTCTACAGGCCATCCCATTTTATCTAAGTTCACTGATTCTTACAAACTTTACCCGAGAGGGCAAATATAATTACTATCATGTCTTACATAAGAAATTGGGACTCTGGGTTATTAACAGTCTGTTAAAGTCATTCAGCGGTAAAAGTCTAAGTTAAAATAAAACCCAGGTACGACTCAAGGTCAAATACTCCATCCCAGGAGCCTTGGCCCAAAACAAACCTCTGCTCTGGTTCCAGTCATGGGCATCACCAAGTTGATTAACATTGTACCTGTACCCATCTTGATGATGAAAATAGTCATCAGTGCTGAACACGATGCCATCGCGACTCTGACCAAGCAGAATTCTGTTAACAAAAGAAATCATAAGGTCTATGACAAGCTAGCAATGGACACCTGGCGTTGACTCCTTAAGGCCACTGCAGGCAGAACAGTAAAGGAGCCAATCCTTTCAGACTGTCCAGATTCTAAACATCACTTCAAACTTCACTCTATCCAACGACAAATATGAAAACTCTAGACCAGCATTTGCATTGTGACTTTAAAACACCATGCATTGCTTCCCAAATAACATCAGCTAACAATTATGCATGTTTTAACTTTGTGTGAATTGGTACTGAATACCTAAACTGTCTCTCTCTGGTACAAGTAATCTAAAAACCAGGTAAGATTAAGTAAGAGATCCATCTAGGAGAAACATATTTGATCCAAAACAGCTTTTACAAACTCATTTCCATTAAGCACAAACATAGAAGATCCACACGTGAGAGTAAGAAATAGCCTAAGACATAAGATTGCAAACAACCCGTGCTCTGCCAAAGTATAACAAACTTTAGAGATTGTTACATGAAATTAATCCCTGAATACTAAATAAAAATGTCTCAGATCAGATCAGTAACAAGTAAGCTCTGCTTTGAAAAAAAAATGATGCCATCTTACGATATACAGTAAGTGGGGATACGTGGACAGAAAGACAAACAACAGAAGCTGAAAAGAATTCAGAATCCTAGACTACCAGTTCTAAAGTTCTTGGCTATTCAACCACAGTATTTTTCATAAACAACAAACAAACAAAAGGAAACCAAATCCACTACACTTACCTTGGCCTGTACAAGTAATTTACTTTACATATCAGGAGGCAGAGCCAGGCGGATCTCTGTGAGTTCGCGGCCAGCCTGGTCTACAGAGCCAGATCCAGGACAGGCATCAAAACTAACAGAGGAAACCCTGTCTCGAAAAACACCCCAAAACAAACAAACAAACAAACATGCTCAAGCCCTGAGTATATAACTGTGTGATATTTGCATATGAACTACATACATCTTACACATACTTTAAACCATTTTTGGATTACTTATATTACCTAATACAGTGTAAACAGCCATGTCCACCACATTGTTTAAGGAGTGATGATAAGAAAAGCCGTCTGCAGTCATGAAAGTTCCGACTATCAAGAGAATTTCCATCAGCAGCGAGACTGGGGGTGAGACAAGGATTTGGACCCTACAGAAAACATCCTGCAGTCTCACTCTTCCCTCTCAATCAACAACCAGGGAACATGGGACCATGTGAAGGAGGTGGAAGGGGTAGTTGGTAGAAGTAACTGAAGAGTAAAACAATCCAGTCCTAGGATGAGTCAAGAGTACCTCCTACCAAAAAGTAGTAGGGAGGACTTCAACTATTAACATGACAAATGCCTTTGCTCCGCCCACAGTTTTTAAGACCTTATAATAAAAATAGTATCATGTATCAAAGTGGCAAACTTTAAATTTGAATTATAGTGGATTTTGTAGTAAGTTATAGCAGAATTACAGCAAATTACATTAAATAAACTAAATGGAAGTTAAGGTTTGTGTTGTCTATGTATTTCTTTGGAGGAAATAGAGTTGGATTTCAAGTATTTTTTTGTTTTTGTTTTTTTGGTTTGTCAAGACAGGGTTTCTCTGTGTAGCTCTGGAACCTTTCCTGGAATTCATCTGTAGCTCTTGAACTCACAGAGATCCACCTGCCTCTGCCTCTCAAGTGCTGGGATAAAAGGCGTGTGCCACCGCAGTGCCGGATTTCAATTTTTACAGTTTTTTCTGAACTATAGCTGACATATCTATATTTGCTTAAGTAGATAACTTGAGATATAAAAAAATGCTTCAATTATGTGTATTTATCTATGTGCTGTTTCTAGCTCAGAAAAGCAGAAAAGGATCATGAGAGGACAGAGATGCTAAGGGAGGGAGAGAAATAAAGGTAACATACCACATGTGAGAGAAAGCAGGAGAATTAGCTGAGGAAGAAAGGAAGCCAGGTGGGGTGGGGGCGGGGAGTGAACAATAATTCATGAAATGCCACAATGTAATTGATTAGTTTGTATGTTAGTCTAGAAAGGCTGATTTCAAAAAAACTACAAAAGATTTTTAATCCTTTTTTTGTGAATGGAAAACAATTTTTTTGAAATTATTATTTTTTTAAATTTTTTTTTAAAGATTTATTTATTATGTATACAGTGTTCTGCCTGCATGTATTCCTGCAGGTCAGAAGAAGGCATCAGATCTCATTATAGATGGTTGTGAGCCACCATGTGGTTACTGGGAATTGAACTCAGGACCTTTGGAAGAGCAGCCCAGTGCTCTGAACCTGAGCCATCTCTCCAGCCAGGAAAACAATTTTTAAAGCTAAATGTTGGGGCGATAGAGATGGCTCAGTGGTTAAGATCACTGACTGCTCTTGCAGAAGGCTCAGGTTCAATTCCCAGCACCCAGCTGACAACTATGGAGGGAATCCAATGCCTCTTTCTGATCTCCAAAGGCACCAGGCATGCAGACACAGGCAAAACACTTAACACATACATTTTTTCTGTTTTGTTTTTGTTTTTTCAAGACAGGGTTTCTCTGTGCAACAGTCCTGGCTGTCCTGGCGCTTGCTTTGTAGACCAGGCTGGAACTCACAGAGATCTGCCTGCCAAGTGCTGGGATTAAGGTGTGCGCCGCCACTGCCCAGCCCTGAAGACCTTCTTAAATACATAAATCATAATGAGTAACAGTTGAGGCTGACTTGAGACATTTTCTTCCCAGACAGCAGGAAGTGTGCATGCATCCTTTTCAAACTCCACAACTATCTCAGGTATGAAGCTTCACTTCAGGAAATTAAAAAAGAGCTTATCAACCTAGGGGAATGGGATACTCTATCAAGCATCTGAACCAAAAGAACAGTATTTTCAAAATTCTTATACTTGAATTATCTCATCAAGTCTTCTAGATGGATTCTCAAAATATTAGTATCTTGGAACTAAGTAAATCAAACAACTAATTAAACACTATCAGTGGCCATTTGAGTCACAGTTTCTCAAAAGAGCTATCTTTTGAGAACTTACCATGACTCACACATCTCTATGATCTCATTCAATTCTCAAAACCCTGACAATCTGGTATTAAACAAGTCCAGGAAAGAAAATAAATACAGCAGTTCTGCTAGTGAAGCTGACTATGCAGCAGCAAACAAGGGTCATGAAATCAAATTCTCAGTGCTGGGCAAGGGATACCTCTGCCTCCCAAACCAGTGGCCTGTAATGATCCTGTACAGTCTCTTCCCCGAGAGGCTTCTGAATAGATTTGGTTACTAGCTTTTAAGGTGGATCTCTGGGTTCCAGGGCAGCCATGAGATCTACACAGTAAGTTCTAGGCCAGATAGGTCTAGTATTCCAAACAGCCAAAACAAACAATCTAAGTGAACCTGGCACAGGCTGAGACCCTAACGCAGAATGGCCATACTCAAGCACTTTGGAGCATCTACCTTATTTTCTCAGGTAACACATAAAGAACTTAAGACCAGAAACAAGTATCTCCTACTGAGTTCAACTAAGACCACTCTCTTCCAAAGAAAGGTAGGAAAAAAAATCTCTTCCATCACTTCAAACAGTGCTTTTAATTCCTATAGTTACTGTAACAAATGATCTGAAAACAACCAGAACTTCTTATCTTGCGGTTCTGAAGGTCAATCTGTCTTTCTCTGTGCTCTAGAGTGCTGTCTTGTCTTTTCTAGTTTCTAGGTTAGGCACACTCACTATCTTGGTTTGTGGGACCTTTGACCATTAGTACAAAGTGGGCAATGTGGAGTCTTCTCTCCTCTCTGACCCCTGCTTCTTGTGTTTATATCTGTGACTTTCCTTCCTGCCACCTTCTTATTAAGAAGCTTTGTGGGTGCTGGAGAGATGGCTCAGCGGTTAAGAGTACTGACTGACTACTCTTCCAGAGGTCCTGAGTTCAATTCCCAGCAACCACATGGTGGATCACAACCATCTATAATGAGATGTGGTGCCCCCTTCTGGCCTGCAAGGACACATGCAGGCAGAACACTGTATACATAATAAATAAATAAATAAATAAATAAATAAATCTAAAAAAGGAGCTTTGTGATTATACTGAGCCCACACAGGATAATCACTTCATCTCAAATATTTAACCCCAAGTCCCCCTTTCCTCAGAAAGTTACATGTACAGCACTTACCACACTAAATGGTTTAAATAAAAATGTTAGCACCAGCCAGGAGGTGGTGACGACCACCTTTAATCCCAGCACTTGGGAGGCAGAGGCAGGAGGATCTAGAGTGAGTTCCAGGGTAGCCAGGGCTACACTTGTCTGGAAAAAACATAATCAAAAACCAAAAAAAAAAAAAAAAAAAAAAGTTAACACCAAACGTTTTTGTTGTTGTTGTTGTTTTTGTTTTGTTTTAATTTCCTAGATGGTAAATTATTAGGTATTTTTAGCAGCTCTTTACTCTTTAGCAACAGTTATTTCGTGTGTGTGTGTGTGTGTGTGTGTGTGTGTGTGTGTGTGTGTGTTGTGAGGGCACACATGGCATGTGGGTTCCAGGGATCAAATTCTGGTCATCAGGTTTGACGGCAGGTGCCATCATCTTGTTAGCCCAAATTACGATATTTCTTCAAGGTATTTTTTAAAGGTTTATTTATTTTATGTGTATGAGGGCTCTAACTGCATGTATACCTTTAAGCCAGAAGACGGCATCAGATCCCACTATAGATGGCTGTGAACCACTATGTGGTTGCTGGGAATTGAACTCAGTACCTCTGGAAGAGCAGCCAGTGCTCTTAACCACTGAGCCATCTCTCCAGCCACCTTCTCTCTCTCTCTCTCTCTCTCTCTCTCTCTCTCTCTCTCTCTCTCTCTCTCTCTCTCTCTCTCTCTCTCTCTATATATATATATATATATATATATATATATTTTACTTTAGTCCTTTATCCATCTAGTAGTTACTTTTTGAATGACAGAAGGCAGAGTTTTACATTTTTCTCATCTACTGTCAATTATATCCTCTTACCATTGCAGCACATTTTCCCAACTGCTCTAAAATACCAGTTCACAGTACAGCAACTAAATATGCAGCGTTTACATTGCATTGGTATTTTAAGGAATCCAGAGATCATTTAAATACACATGTGGGAATATATGTATAAGAAATATACAAATGTGATACCCTTTTATTCAAGGGACTTAAGTATCAAAGGAGTTTGATACCTGTACAGGAGCCCACAACCAACTCACTCAAGAACCAAGGGACAACTGCAAAGTCTCTTGCCTTAGAATCCTCAGCAAAAGCTAGATATGGTGGTGCAAGCAGGAAATTCACAAGTTTTAGTACACCCTGTACTACGTACTGAGACCTTGAATAAATGAATGAAGCCATCAGTAAATGTCTAGGGCATGTATCATGTTGGAGACTACATGGTTTTAGAAAAAAACAGGCAAGTTCTGAAGTTACCTCTAGAAATCTAAAGTTCTAGTTCTGGAGATGGCATGTCATAAGCTTACTAAACCATTCTATATCCTCATTTGTATAATTATTAATACCTCCTCTCAGAGTAGTAGCTCTGTATATAGACACTGAACAAATTACAGCTGCTGTTGCCAAGCTTGGTTCTCTGCTCACAATACTGAATAAATTTGAAATATAAAGTATATACTATATCCAACATAACTGTTATAATTTACCTTAAAATATTTTAGCACAGATATGAGACCATTTGGATGATTTAAGCTATGGCCCAGGCAGTTGTCTAATCAGAGAAATCATATCCCTTGCTAACTAAGCAAGGATGAGTCTCCAAATGTGGACTACAAACTGTTAAAAATGTCTCAACCTCCCTTTATCTTTGATAATCCCTCTTCTGGCCTGCAGTTGTATATGCAGGCAGAACACTGTATACATATAAATAAATAAATCTTAAAAAAAAAAAAAAAAAGCTAGCAGCAAGCCAAGTGTAGTAGTGATTCAAGCGTGTAATCCGTCACCCAGATGATCCTATGTTTGAGGCCAGCCTCTGCTACACGGCAAATTTCAGGCAAGCCTTCGTTTTCTAGAAAGACCCTATCTCAAAAAAAAAAAAAAAAAACCAAACAAACAAACAAACAAAAAACAAAACAAAAAACACCAAACAAACAAACAAACAAACCCTAGGGGTTAGGGGATGAAGTTAAGTGGGAGAATACTTGCATAGGATGCACAAGTCAGGTTCTATCCCCAGCACACCCCCCCCAAAAAAAACAAATAATAATAAATAATAAAAATTAACAAATGGTGGTGGTGGTGGTGGTGGTGGTGGTGGTGGTGCATGCCTTTAATCCCAGCACTTGAGAGGCAGAGCCAAGCGGATCTCTGTGAGTTCGAGTCTGGTCTACAGAGAGAGATCCAGGACAGTCACCAAAACTACACAGAGAAACTATGTCTGGAAAAACCAAAACAAACAAACAAACAAACAAACAAACCAAAACCAAAACCAAAAAAGCCCCAAATGGTTGGTAGAGTTTCCCAGAAACAACTAACTCTTGCCTTCTTATAACTAAAATGGCTTAGGTCAACTGTTAATGAACAAAAAGATAATGCTGTCTTGTATAGCTTATACTGAACACAAAGCAGTAAAGGTAAAAGCTATATAAATTCAGAAACTACTAAGGATGCACAAGAGAAAGAAAAGCCTCAAAAGTAATGGCATATGCCTACAATCCCAACACTTGGGGAGCCGAGGCACCAGAAAGCATGAGTCACAGAACAGCCAGAGCTCCTCAGTGGGTTCCGGGACATGCTGGACCACACAGTAAGTTCCAGACTAGCTCAGGCTACTATAGTAAGCCAGTATCTCAAAACAAACAGGAGGCATCTAAAGCAACCTTTAAAGAAGCCACTGCACGCCAACAGGAGCAAACTAACAATGCACACAGGTAGTGTGGAGGTGGTGAAATAAGGACTAAACTAGGAGTGGGGCTCATTAGCAAAGGGAAGCTAATTTACTTCTCCAGATCAGCAGGGTTCTGATCCAACAATTCTGTATTCTTTCCTTTCTTCAAACCTTGTTGTGAAAGCTAACACCTCTATGAAGTTGTATATGGTTTTATATTCGATGCCAAATAACTCAGGGGTTAGAGACTTAAAAGTAAAGGAGTCAAGCCAGGCTGGTGGTGGACCTTTAGTCCTAGCACTTGGGAGGCAGTGAGTTCAATACCAGCCTAGCCTATAGTGAGTTCTAGGACAGCTAGGGCTACATAGAAACCCTGTCCCAAAAAAACCAAAATCAAACCAAACAAACAAACAAAACAAAAATCACAACAAAAAGGGGAGGCTGTCTTCATTAAACAATGTCCGTCAATCTAAAGAGGTGTTCCTGTGTGTTTGTGTGTGTTTTCCTAGCTCTTTAATCAAGCTCCCTGAAGTGAGGAATCACACATAAAGTATGTATGTAGGAGGTACTAGAAATGACGGCGGGACACCGAGGCATGCACACGTAAATACAGCAGACAGACAGATAAATAAAAATTTAAAGCCTTTAAAAATGAAAACATGGGGAAAGCACATTACCATTTTGATCTCTTATTTTCGGTTCTGGGGGAGGAAGGGGTTTGGTTTTTAATAGTAGTTTCTGTTAACCTCAACTATTTCCTCTAGGCTTTGCGCCTATAAAATGAAAACAACCCAGCTCCCCAAACTTTCCTATGTCAAAGTACTCTCTAAACTGAAAACTGACACAAACGGCCCTTGTTACTAAGCACCCGCTTAGGGGACTGGTTCTCTATGTTGCCCAGGCTAGCCCACAACTTGGTCCCTAACCCAGACTGGCCTTGAATCTGAGATCTTGCTGCATCCTTCCAGTCTCAAATGTTCCACCTTCTCCTCAAGCAAATACCCACAGACATAATCACCTCTACCTAATCTCTCAGGCCTTCTTGAAATTCTATTGAGTTCCATTCCAACATTCTCCAACCTGTTGTCCTAATTTTCTTTTCTTTTTCAATATTCAGTTCTAACTAGTAGACCTACTTCAACCAATTTCCAAGTCTCAACTATCTGTTTTCTCTGATAAAGGCTAATTCCAGAACACTGTAAGACAACTTCACTCTTCTGAGTCTCAACTTCATATTCTCTACAAAACCTTCACAAAAACATGAATCATCAAACTAAAACAGCTTAACTTGCTTGGAAATCTATACTATAAACTGAATTTCTGTTGTTGTCTAAAGAAATTTTATTTATTTAGGTCATATTACAAATAAATATAAGTATCTGTAAATTCTTCAGATACTAGTCTTCACACAAAGATACTATTTTTTTAACCTTTCCTATATAAACTACAAGAAATTTATAGTTTGAGTTATTTTCCACATTTGAGCAAACTGTGACAATGCTGTCTTTAAATTGTAAAGAAAATTAGAAATCTGAAATATTTTGTAACAAAAAAACACCACCAGTTCTAACACCACTAATCAGAGTGCTCAATTCAACACAGTAAAAATTTAAAACTAAATAGCAATTCAGTCCCACAGGGATGGAAAGATGGCTCAGTGGCTAGGAGCACTACACTGGCTGCTCTTGCAGAGGACCCGGGTTCAATTCCCAGCACTCACATGGTGGCTCACAACTGTAACTCCAGTTCCAGGGGAACTTTTCTGGCCTCCTGGAAGTAGTGCACAGATACACATGTAAACAAAACTACCATACACATAAAATATATATATATTTTTAAATCACTATCCCAGGCTGGAGGGATGGCTCAGCGGTTAAGAGCACTGGCTGCTCTTCCAAAGGACCTGGGTTCAATTCCCAGCACCCACATGGCAGCTCAAAGCTATCTGTAATCCAGCTCCAAGTGCTCTGACACCCTCACCAAACAAAACACCAATGCACGCAAAATAAAAATAAACCTTAAAAGAAAAAAATCGCTATCCTAATTAGGTACGAACATGGCATAATGCTCAATAAATTCTAAGAAAATAAATATTCCTCATTCCATTAACAAGCAGCAAAACTTGCCCAACAGCAGAGTGAAAAAGTACCAAAGCCCAGATTTCCTAGTGCCGAGTCCAGCTTTTCTTGAATAGCTGACTTATACCGGCTACGCAATTCTTAAGTAGCATTGCTTGTTGCCGTTTTACTTAGAGTTTACTTTTAAAGCTCGTATAAGAAACTAAATATACATACAGCAATTCTCCCTTTTCCACTAGAATACATCTTTTAAAGCATTTCCAGTCAGATGTCACTCCCAAACACAGTGGATAAATTTTCTACTAGAAACATGAGAGTGTTTAGCACTGACCACTCATTTAAGTAAGGAATCATCAAGTATTCTCTTGGTATCCTTTACTTACCGAGACAATGTTGTTTTTCCAGACCCAGGGAGGCCTCGCAGAAGAATAAGTAATTTCTGCAGTTTGTTTAGCTTCTCCTCTGGAAACCACTGGCTCACCAACCTGTCTGCTCCATTGCGCTCTCCCAGAAGAGGCTCTCTCCAGCACTCTCTGATTTCACAGAAACCATCCCTCACACTTTCCTCCTGCACACTGTAGCCATTTCTGAAGGGCTGAACAGTACTGCTAGTCACACCATAATGAGCATACTCATCGTTCTGATCAAAAGTTAAACAGTTCCAGCTATCCTGATAACTATCTACGTAACACCCGTTCTGCATCTGAGAGTCATCTTGCCCATGGAAAATATTTGGTGGTGGATTTAGTGGGCCATTGAATCTTGGAATATTAAAATGATAATTAAAACTGGGAAGAGGAGGACCATGGGGTATGACAAAAGGATGTACTGACTGCCATTCAGGCCCGAAGGAAGAGAATGAAGTATCACAAAACGGAGGCATCACTTGTTCATCACAGGGATGTCTGCCTGGTTCATTCTCCAAGTACTGCTGGTAACCACAATGTGACTGAAGAGCGTCACTGAGGTCTTTACTCTCTTCCTCTGACTTTAAGGTACCATAGGCCTGGTCATAAGGAATAGTTTGTTCCGGGGAAGGCTCTGGTACCTTACAACTGCCTTGTGAAGCATCATTTTCATTTTCCAGCTCTTCAATTTCTTTGTAAAACTGGGATAATTCCGTGTCAATCTCCAATTTTTTGGAGATAAATTTCTGTTTTTCTTCTCGTCTTCTTTTGTCATCTACACTACTGAAACTGTCCGTCTCATGCTTCCTTTCTCGGCATTTCTTTTTTTCAGGGGGTTTGTAAATGGGGCCTATGAATGCTTTACTTGTGCTATAGATTTCGTCATCCTTGGAGAGTGATGAAGGCTTTCCATCCTGCAAAGCTTTCGAACCAATGGATTCAACACCACCTAGTTTATCACCAGGCATCTCCTTGTACAAAGGCTTCAACACATCTGTAGTTCTGGTTTTGTCTTCCTCAGGACAAATTCGCCTTCTGAAGTTAATGGTGGCCACAGGGATCCTATTATTTCTGGTTTTCTCTTGGAGTCTGTGACTTTCAGGACCACCTCGATGGGACAAAACACAATCATCTGCAGCTGACTTCAATTTTTTAGAGCATGGTTCCCTTGTTAGTTCTTTTCCAGGTCCCAAAAACTTAGCTTCAATTTCACTATAGGGCATCTGAGGAGTAAAGCACACAATTATTAGATCATATTTTTAAAAATTTAAAAAAAAGCTTTTTCATAAGGAAGGAGTGTGAGAAAAAAGATTTTGTGACATAAGCATTTAATAACCAAAGTCAAAGTGTAATTTTATAACCACCTATTTTAAGTACTTATTTTAATTCATAATAATTTACAGGAGGAGTCTCACTGAAGTTAGTATCATTTAAAAATATATGTGCACCTCATTTTTTGGAGGTGCAGAAGATGAACTTATGACCTCATGCATGCTAAATGAACACCTTTTTCCTGCTGAGACAGTGTCTCACTAAGTTGACAAGTGTGGCCTTGAATTCTCTGTGTAGAGTTCAGTGAGGTCTTACCTGTCCATCCTCCTGAGTAGTTGAGATTACAGGTCCGTGCTAACAGTCCTGTCTTTAAACAATCCATTCCAGAGTTTAAGGACCTACGTTTGGAAACCTGAGTCCATATCTCATGTATCTACATGTGTGTGTACAGATATATCACTGGCATTTGTTTCTAAACTGGCTAAGGTACACTGTATCATGAATCCCTTCCTGTTTAAAATCACTGTCTTTTTGGAATACGGGCTTCAGTTTCCATACTTCCATCATCTGTCTTTAGCATCGATACGAGATGAACTAAATCAGTCTTTGTGAACCTTTTTCCTCCAAGTAGTATAAAGCAGTTCCAAATTGAGTGCAATTATTTAAAAGAAAAAAATAAGAGTTTGAGGATACAAATTATGCTTAGGAAAAATAATCAGAAAACTCGTCAAAATCAAAGCATTCATCTTTTTTAGCAGTTTCTCTAACTTAAAAATGCTAGCATTTGGGAGAAGGAAGATCAGAAGTTCAAGACCAGCCTGGACTACATAGTTAAGTTCAAGGTCAGTCTGCAGTGCACAAGACCCGTCAATAAATTAATTAAAACTACACTTCTCTTGACAGGCAGTGGCTCAAACCTGTAATCCTATCAATAGGCGACTTCAGGCCAGTATAGACTGACTACACAGTTGGGTTCCAGAGCGTCCTGACTTACAGAGTGAGATTATGTCTACAGAACAAAACAAAACACACCTTCGCGTCTCTTTAAATTTCTTTGAACCCTTAAGAAACCAAAAATCCCGTACTTCACTCGGGCCACTCTTGGACTCAAAACCCAAACCCCACAAACCAGAGAAGAAAGCAGACAGGCCATTAGCAGAGTCCAACAGTGGAGGAAGCCATTCTCCCGGAAACAGCCCCCACCTCAGTCACATGTTCCCGTCTCCCCATTCAAACATCGAGATCGCCGAGGAAGAGCGAAGGGTGCACTGACACGGCCAGCCTCCTAGCTGCGCCTCAAGGCCTCCTGACCGCCAGGCAAGCGGCCCGGCCTGCCGCCCCCCAGCTTCTCCGTCCTTAAGGAAAACGACAAGGTCCCGTCTAGAATCTGCGGGGGCCCCCGAGGCTGAAAGGTTCTCTTCGGGCGTCCACGCTCACAGTTAAACGAAGGAGTCGGGCCAAAGCCGCGAGTGAACACTTGAGCCGTTCGCCTCAGACGACACCGGAAGCACCTCCCCCAACTACACCGGGGCGTCTGCTCACCGCAGCTCTGCGTGTACGCCCACCCACCCCCTAAAGCAAAACAAAACAAAACTCCCGCAAAGACACGAACCTCCGAGGGAGCGAAAGACCGTCCGAGAGGCAGCTACAAAGCCGAGCAGGAGAGACGCGGGGCTGGAGCAGCTCCATACGCAAGATGGCCGCCGCTCAGATTTCCCATGCAGAGCCGCGGGGCTTGCGCCGGGCATTGTGGGAATTGAAGTCCAGCGTTCCCTGCCATGCTAGTTTACCTCGTGGCACCAAGACTCGGTCTTCCAGAGTCCCTTGCGTGACGTATGCGCTGATTTGGCAATCAACGTAGGTGCAGGTTGGTTCCCCGCCCTGGAGTGGGGACGTTATTTAAAGACACACTAACTTTGACCGAAAAAAGCGACCATCTCTGGCGTTCTCCTCCGAAGGAATAGTGTTTGGCGCCTCCAGGTGGATGCTTAAGCCCCTCGCAGAGAGTGAACGGTTTTCTGGTTCTTTTTAGGAGACAGAAAAAATCAACCTACATTTCAAAGAAAAAAACATTTTGTATAGCAGAGTTGGGTGGCTGTGGTTTCTAAGAAACGCTACCAAGTATAATTTTGAGCTCCTGAACTTCTGTGGAAGGATAGAGAGCCTGCACCGCAGAACCCTGTAACAGAGAGGTGTCACTTGGGGGGAAAATTATAAAGGATCTTACTGCCAGGTAAGAAAAACATTGTTATATAAATGTGTATTGAATTAAAAATAAATATCAACCAAACAATGACTAACTTCAATTATCGACCTTTTTTCCCCTCTTTCCCACTACCATTAGCCTGCCCCTCTCCACCGCCCCCCCCCGCCATGTTTCATTTGAGTCTCTACAAGGAAATCGGCAGTCTCTTCATATGTGAATAATTCTTGACTACAGCACAATAATGTCTTAATTTATAAGTATAATAGTTAAAAACCACAAGGTAGGATATTTACATCAGAATACTTAACACCATTGTGACCCAGAGGGCTCACAATCTATCTTTCCCCTTGCTGAGTCTTCCTGAAATTTTCACTGCAACCTTTGTTTCCTCGTGTTTAACTTCGGGTTATGCATCTTTTTTTTTCTTTAATAAGTACTTATTTTATTTTACACGTGTGACTGTTTTACCTGCATGTATAAATGTGCACAATGTGCATGTCTGGTGCTCAGGGAAGCAAGAAGAGGCTGGAGCCCAGGCTAACTTCAAACTTCCTGTGAGCAAGGAGACTCATGGAATTCCCGATTCTCTTGCTGGGATCACCATGCCCCCACACTAAGAAATATGATCTTTTTTTTTTTCCGTCATTCACGGTGATATCATATCATTGTAATACTTTACATCTTGATAGTGTATTATTTGTTTGGATTTAGAGATGGGATGAAAGGTTAAATAGAAGAAATATTCTCTCTCTCTCTCTCTCTCTCTCTCTCTCTCTCTCTCTCTCTCTCTCTCTCTCTCTCTCCTGCGTTGCTAGGGGTTGAACCCAGCACCTTGTACATGATAGGCTGGCAGTTTTCTACTGCCATACCTCCAGGCCAGTATTCTGTCACATATGTGGGTCCTGGGGATTGAACTCAGGTTGTCCAGCTTAGCAGCAAGTGTCTTTATTCACTGAGCCATCCTGCCATCCCAAGTAAAATTTCAAAGGTGGCCGGGCGGTGGTGGTGCACGCCTTTAATCCCAGCACTCGGGAGGCAGAGGCAGGCGGATCTTTGTGATTCGAGGCCAGCCTGGTCTACAGAGCGAGATCCAGGAACGGCGCAAAGCACACAGAGAAACCCTGTCTCGGAAAAAGAAAAAAAAAAAATTTGAAAGGTGAAGCTTGTGTGTACTTCTTGTGTTAGTCCATTTAGGCTGGTAAAATGCCTTTCTTTTTTTATTTCCATACTTCTGGCGGGGGGAGGGTAGAGAGTCCAAGGTGAGTCAGTGTATTTGTTGTTTAGTGAGGGCATCTTCTGGAACATAGACTGCATATTCTAGGTGTGTCTCTTCACATGACAGACTGAGAAAACAGCAGCACCCTCTCTTAAATTCAGTGTGTGTGTGTGTGTGTGTGTGTGTGTGTGTGTGTGTGTGTGTGTGTGTGTGTGCATTCCATGGCACTTGTGGAAAGGTCAGAGGACAACTTTTCAGGAGTTGGTTCTCTCCTTCCGCCTTGCTCTGGTGCAGGCTTTCTCTTGTTTCACTGTTCCACCATGTGTTCTAGGCTGGCTGGCCTGTAAGCTTCTGGCTCATTCTCCTGTCTGAATGGCCCATCTTGCTGTAGGACTGCCAGGATTACAGATGTTGCCACCTCATCCAGATTCCTATCACGGCTTCTGGCGCTTGAACTCAGGTCCTCAATCAGGCCCCACACTTCTTTCCTGAGCTGCCTAGACTCACTCAGGTGGGCTCCACAATAAAGTTCATCACCCTTAGTATTGTCAACTGGTGATTAAGTTTTGAATATGAAGGGAGGGACACACATCTAGACAACGTCTCTGCCCAGAGAGGAGAGGATCCAAAGAGTCCCCAAGCAGAGTGAGGTCTCAAGAGGCAAGTGTCATAAAGAGCCCTAGAAGGGGACTTGAGTGAGGGGCCAGTGACAGTTGACACTTGTTGAGAGTGAGGATGCTATAGACAGGTCAGAGTGAAGAGGTGGGGGTGGCAGAGAAAGGCCATTATCTAAAAGAGAGAAAACCCACGGACTTCATGAAGCAATGCAAAGCTACAACCAGTGTCCTTGCCCTGCTTGTGTTTGATCCCCATCTCTACGCTTCGGTTGTGAAGAATCTGGTGGAGTTTTCTGGAAGGCAACACCAAACCTATTGTTTCTTTGGCACATTGATACCTCTGTACCCCTAACACCCCCCTACATCCCATCATCCCGCAGCAGCTGGAAACATGCCAGACTGTTCATACTCCTTTAACAGCCACTGAATTTTTTTTTTCTTCAGTGCTGAGACTTGAAACTAAGACCTCAAGTGTGGCAAGCAAGGCCTCTACCTCCGAGCCACCCATTCCACTCTCCACTGACATCTTGTAACATATTTGATATTCATAAAAGTATATGTGCAACCCTCTTCAGTTTATGCTCAGCTTATGCTTACTATGGAGCACTGGGAGCTGAGAGCATCCTCTGAATAAAAACGCCCTTATAAACAAAGCTTCTGGTGTAGTTGTCAGAGATCACATCTATGATGGCTATCCCTTCCCCCCCCCCCCCCCCCCCCCCCGCCCCCACCCCACCCCGTTGGAGCCCACAGAGGTTTCCTAGTGAGATCTGAGCTTGCTTTACCCAGCAGGACTGCATAAGAGGATGCTTGGACCACGGGCCTGGGTACCAGGTGTTTGGAAGGGTCTGCACTTGGCTGTATCTAGCAGGGGGAGGTCTTTTGCCTCACCCCTTGGCATTGTTATGAAAAGCCCTTTTGAATAACATTCTGGGCTGATGGATATTGATCCAGGTCCTCCCAAAGCTACCCTGTGTTTCTGTCTTTCCTCGTTGTCAGCTAGGCCTATCATTCTATCATTCCTTATTCCTCTCTCCTCCTCATAGGAACCCTGTAAAAGGTGGGGGCTGGTCCCCCACATCTCCCTCTCTCATTCTCTCTTTCTTTTGTGTGTTTTTTTTTAAAAAACAGGGTTTCTCTATGTAGCCCTGGCTGTACTAGAACTCACTCTGTAGACCAGGCTGGCCTCAAACTCACAGAGATCCTCCTGCCTCTGCCTCCTGAGTGTTGGAATTAAAGGCATGCACCACCACTACTGACGTGATGACTATTCTTGGTTGTCAACTTGACTGGATCTGTCATGAACTACAATCCTAAAATGGAGGGCATACCTATAAGAGATTTTCTGCTTAGTTTGAAGTGGGTGAATCCAGTTCTAGTCTGGACCTTTGATCTGGATCTTGAGGCAGGAAGACACAGGCCTTTAATTGGATCTTGAAGAGGGAAGACACACCTTTAATCTGGGCTGTACCTTCTGCTGGAAACCGAAGACAGAAGAAAGAGAGGTTTGCTCTTCTGCTTGCCCTCGCCTTGCTAGCCCATCCATCCCTTCACTGGCACTGGAGCCTACTTCTCTGGGATTCCAGCACGTACAGAAGACCCGCTGAGATGCCTAGCCTTGTGGGGCTGAGCAGCTACTGGGGTCTTGGGCTTTCGTTCACAGCCAGCCATTGTTGGATTAGTTGGACTGCAGCCTGGAAGTCATTCCAATAAATCCCCCCTTTACACACACACACACACACACACACACACACACACACACACACACACATTCATTACATAGGTTCTGTGATGCTATAGAATCCTGGCTGCTACAACCTATCACCATTCACAATATATAGCAGTTTGATGTGTCATTTTGTACAATCTGTTACTGAGATTTTCAGAACTACTGCAGCGTATTTCAGAAGACTCCGTTGCTGTAATCTATATTCATAAATGATGGGTTCTCAATCCCGAGCACTTAAGAAACACTTGTAAATGTATTATATATTTGATTCAATCTACTTTAGGTAGTGCTCACATTGTTGACTATCTTGTTTTATATACTCCATCTGACTTACCCACATCTACATTGTGAACTCATGTTCCCAGAAAAAAAGAAAAAGAAAGAAAAGAAAAAACAACAAACAATGCATGTGTTAAAGATTCTAAAAGGGGGTTGGGTATGGTGACACCCCTCCCTTAATCCCAGTATTCAAGAGGCAGAGGCAGGCAGAACTCTATGAGTTCCAGGCCAGGCTGATCTACATAGCAAGTTCTAAGCCAGCCAGGGCTACCAAGTCAGATTCTGTTTTAAAAAAAGAGAGAGATTCTAAAAGGGTGACTGACCATGACGTTGTGATGATACATACTTGGAATGCTGCAAATCTAGACCAAGGCTATCTTGGGCTCCATTTAGTCCCCTAGTAGCCATTCAGGCCTTTCTCTATCTCTGAGCTAACATCCTTTCAATTATCAAGGAAAACCTTTGGAACGTAGCTACTTAGCAAACTGCCAAAGAGCTAAGGACTGCATCATATGCAATCTGAGACACAGAA